GATGTGCCCTACAGTTCAGTGTCATGCTATAAAACAGTGCAGATGTGCAACTTACGGCCCACTGCGCATTAAAAGCCACCTCCAGTCTGACCCCAGACCGGCGGAGGCAGCGTGAGATAATAGAGGCATCCGAGCGGCAGCTGACCCCAGGACGGGCTTTGAAGCTGGAGCATCCCACAGAGAGAGAAGCAGGGAGAAGGACTCAATTAGTCAAGTCTAAATTGAACCATCAATCTCGGCTCACTCCATGGCCATCCGGTGCGAGGGGGCCAACACTCGTAAACAAGACCACGCTGTTACTTCAAGAGGGCTGCGCGGCATCTAACAGCATCTGAGGTGGAGAACTTTAAAGGCAGCTTTAGGGTAAAAAAAAAGATGAGAGTAGGGTCCAAAATCAACATTTGTCACATATATGCAGAATATTCTATGCACTAAGCCACCAAAAAAATTAAAAATACGGAATTAATCATAATACTATCTATCTATCTATCTATCTATCTATCTATCTGTCTGTCTGTCTGTCTGTCTGTATTCAGTATTCAGACCCCCACAATGCAGATTTATTTTCACAGCCTTCTTTGATCATATTTACCAAGGGTGCCAATAATTCTGACCACGACTATATATATATTCTTATTTTTAGATTTTTTGAATATTTTACATAGTTATTTTACATTGTTTGTAATTGTATTTTTAATTTTATATTATAGTAGAGATGGATAGATAAATATTGGGTAAAAAAATAAGAAAATGTTATAGTTGGAAATATAATTTCATTCCCACACACACACACACACACACACACACACACACACACAACATAACACAGACTGCCAAGCACTAGTGAGGACTACATCTCCTCCACAGAGAGCCGGGGGGGAGGCGGAGGAGCGCGATCATACCATCAAAGAAGAAGGCTTCATGATGAGGATGAAGTTCATTTGCAGTATAGCTGTCTGATTGCAGTCAGTCTTTAAGAGTGTGTGTGTTTGTGTGTGGATGGATGACACAGGAAGTGCTCTGTGTGTGTGTGTTTGCTGTCCAGACTTCTGAGAGAGACACTGTGCTCCCTTCTGAACCCGACAGCCCTCCTGCCCTCTTTCCATTACTAAAGCTAATAACACACACACACACTCCAGCACGCTGCTGCCTGACACACCACACACACGCTGCAGGAAGCTGTTCTTGCTGCACTTCTGAAATATATTGCTACACACATACAGAGAAATGAGTAGAAGAGGCATGAAATGAAAAAAGGTGACTAAATGATACACATGGGTCACATGGGTCAGTTGCACAATATTTTACCATTCCAAGCCAATAACTGCCTGATCATTGTCAAAAGATAAATACACATGGCCTATTGTAATTTTTTGTTCGGTAAATTTAGCATAAACATTGTGTAAAGCAACAAAAAAAGAGAACAAAACACCTGAATGGTTGTAGTTAGAAGTCAATACAGCATTATATATATATATGTGTGTGTGTGTGTGTGTGTAAAGATGGAAATATTATTATCCAAATAAAGAATTTTTATGTTACAAAAGTGTACTGAACTCTTTTTTTTTTAATTAAATATTTTAAATAAATATTTTAAATTAAATAATTAATGTTAAATGAATTATTTTTGAATTAATTTAAATGCCAAATTGAGTTAATCTTATATGCTATATATTATCTATAATGTTATAATGATCAAATTATAGATTAATATTTCTGACTGTAGTCAAATATTATTATATAAGGCCACCCCTACTGTCTATTGGTATTAACCATTCATTTCGGTCGACCAACTGTTTTCCCACCTGCAGCAATGCAAAAATGTGTTTGCGCAGTAACAGGTACATGCGGAAACTGTGTCTAGATGTGCTGCATCATTGAGGCCGGTCGATTAGGGACAGACTCGGACGCTCGTTTATAAGGCCAAATGCTCTGCTCTTGGTCAAACATGCGCACACACATTCTTGCCTGACCCAGTATAAGTTTGGCTGGTATCTGGTCATAACAAACGACTCAGCTCGGGCTGTTTATCTGAGGGGAAGTGGAGCAGCGAGGGGGGACAGGTGAGCAAACGGCTCGCTAACACGCTGACTAACACACTCCCGATTTCACACGGGCAGCGAGACGCATACGGCCCCCTCTCGCTTTTCTCTTACTGTTTTCTGACCCATTTCCTTTCCTCCCGCCTTTCTACTTTCCCTTCACAAGCCAGAGCTATGTTTCCAGCGCGCGAGCGACTTTCCATGAATGTGCATGTACATGCGAGCGTGTGATTTATCCGGCTAGAAGCAGCGTGTGAAAAAGAGAGGGAGGGCGGCAAGAGAGACAGAGAGAAAGGGAACAGTAATAATACGGCCCTTTCATAATGATTAAAGCATTCATTAATTTTTCATCATAACCTGCCGTTTGCAGCTAATGGTCTTTGTGAAGTACACAAGCAAACAATGGACAGGCGAGTTGAAAAGGGATTTTTATCAGGCTATGAGAGCCCTGGCTCAATGCACTGCCCACCTCCCCCTCTTCATTTCTCGCTCTTCTCTTTTCTTTTCTGCTTCTTTTTCTCTGTGTCCGTGCTTCTTGAGGGATCGGGGCTTCTTTTGTTTGCACATTTTATTTGAACAAAGTAGAGAGATAATGCGCTACTGTAGTCTCCTGCTAATGGACTCTATTGCTTGCTTGCTGTCTTGTTCTCAAGAGTTCTATAAGTATCTTCTATATGTCATCTTACATTTTTCCTGGCTTCCTGTATACGACAGCTGTTGAATTTCACAGCCAGACTCTTGCTTTGACCTTGTGGCTTTCTCCAATGTAACTATTTTCTCTGACGTAACTATTAAAATCAAATGGAAATGAAGCAAAATGCTGCTTGGTTTCATAGAATAGGAGGATACTCACACAAATGAGCAGAATCAGTGCCAGAAAAACTCTAACGCCTGTCTTTTACAAAGTCTTACACATCCTTGGCTAGTAGATCAGAGATAAAAAAGCATAAAGTAAAATAAAATTCTCCAGATCAGCAATATCTTCAGGCAACTCTAAATATGTTCATAAACAAGTTGGTTAACAGTTACACAACAAAAATAAGCACATATGGGAGCAAAATCGACAAACTAACAGGCAGTTTAGGACAATATTGCCTTCAATAAAACAGATTCTTCATGTTTAGAGCTTCACAGGGTGAAGCAGTGATCACACTAGATAAAACCGCAAACCTCCAGCTTTGAAGTTTGTGTGTTTTCTCAGCCAAGACATTAACAGTAATGTTTAAATTCTTTCCAGGGCAAACGTCTTTGTGAAATGTGAATCTGCTTAACTTTAGTAAGCACAGCAAAATGTTGTTTCATGAGCATGAATGGAAGTCAGTGGAGCAAAATCTAGTGTGACCTCACCCTAGGACAAAGCATGGAGTAATGCAACAGTTGTAAAACACCTCCACACACCGGTACATACAAAAAACAGAGCACACTAAACCCTGCTGTATATAAATACTACAGTGAATGCTAGCTTTGTTTGTCTGCATTCTTCACATGGTTGACAGCAGGTTCAGCTGTAAGTAACCTTCAGTGTGCACTGCAAGAAAACAATACATACACACATCTATCTATCTATCTATAAACCTGTGTATATTCATCCATCCATCCATCGTCAGTATGTTCACAAGTGTATTTGCACACACACTGGCTAATTCACATAGGGAGCAGGTTCTGATTATTCATGAGGAACTGGCCTCTAATTACAGAGTGAGTGTGGTGTGATGTAAGAGACAGAGAGAGAGAGATCCTGTGGAAGGAGCTGAGAGCCGTTCTCTCAGTAATCAGTCTGAAATGAATATGCAAAGTGTGGCACACAATGGCTCCGAACAGCTGATCCCTGCCTGCTTAAACAAAGGCCTGACTTTATCAACAGCTCTCGTTAAGCAAAATTTGTTAGTCAGGAATGATGGGATGGGAGATAGATAGATGGAAGAAAGAATGAGTGTGTACGAGTGAGTCAGGGAGAGAAAGAAAGACAGACAGAATGGGAGATGCTCTCCATGAAATCCTTCACACCAGTTTCACATTGTAATTTCATCACAATAAGACACACGTGTGCCAATGTCTTCTGAAAATCTAATGGAGTGAACTTTTTCCACCGACAGGGTGCCAGTGCTGGTTTCGGAGCCGATGCCCAATCTGGACCTGTTCCATGTGCCGTTTCCACATAGAAAAACTGGCTCTGGCTGCCCAATGGCTCCTAAAACCTGCTGGTCTCCAACTTTTCAGAACAACAATAACTCAAAGCTAGATAGCTTCCACTATAATCAAAGAAACTCTCTAGACTGGAAAAAAGCCTGATGTGACAATGCTAAACAGCTCACGTTAAAATAAAATGACTGTATTCACAAAAAATATAAAGTGACTTTAATTTAATCGAAATATTTAATATCAAGTATTTAATTAAATAGATCCAAAACTAATTTATGTAATTTTTACATCATTTTCTAATTAATATTTTTTCCTTGCCATTAAAAGTAGCTTGTGATAGCATAATAAATATACTGTATATTAACAATTCATTCAATGACAGCAAACGTATTTATAGATCAATTGCTATGAATTTTAAAATAAATAAATAATGAATTAAATGATAAATGTTTACACAATTTTCTAATAAATAAATATATTTTTTTCCATGCCATTAAAAGTAGCTTGTGATAGCATAATAAATATATATGAACAATTCTTTCAAAGACATCAACATTATTTATAAATTAATTGCTATGAATGTTAAAATTAAATAAATAAACCTTTCCAAGGCATCAAATGTAGCTTGTGATAAAGATGCTAAATTAAATGACTTTGTATTACTCAAAATTTGCAAACAATGACCACGGCATGACATGTTTATTACTGAACAGGTTATATCGTTGTTCGGCTCTCAAGACTTTGAAAACGCGCTGCAAATTTGAGTTAAAAGTGACGATGTGTGTCAAAACACATATTCAATTCTCCCTCACTCACCCTCTGGCTCGTTCTTGATGAGTTCCTCCATCTTGCGCTGTTTGAGCGTGTCGACCACGTCGGCCAGGCTGCCCTTGCGTCTCTCCGGGGTGCCCAGAGCTGAAGCGGAGCTGGGCTCGCTCCCCGGCCGCATGGACCCCTCCTCCTGCTGCTGCTGCTGCTGCTTACTGGGTGAGGTAGAAGAGTTGTGCTGGGGGTAAGGGCTCAGGGCCAGGCCTTTACTGCCATCCTGATCCTGACAGAGAGACGGAGAGAGAGGCAGGGTGTTAACAAAGCGACAAACAGGCCTTCACTAATTATTTTGTCCTGTTCTTGAGTGTTGAGGCATGTTTAGATTTACTTTCATCCTCATCTGCCCATCTGTACTGTAGAAAGTCTCTCTTTCTCTCTTTGCCTCTGTCGGTCTGAAGTCTCTTTAGACAAAATCATTAGCGGCGAAAAGTTTCAGTCGTTTCACCATCACAGGAACTGTCTCTTTCTCCGAGAAGGGAAGTTTTCTACTTTGAATCAGCTCCAAACACACAAGAACGTCCAAGTTTTTCAACCACATTTTTCTGACAGCTGCGATATCAATCACCATCTTCAGTGTTTCATGCATTGATCTTACGTCCAAATATATAGCAGTTCTCATCTTATGGTTTCTTATGTAATGCGGCTCAGAATTAGGCTTGTACACTGTAAAAAGGGAAACTGTGCGGTGGTTGCCTTAAGGGGCTATTTCTAACTAATCTAAACCATAACATTTTTTATTTGTATAAACTAATATAGTCATATTAAACAAAAACATTTTGACTTGAATAAAACCAGTTTATTTAGATGTTACTACACAAATAATATTTTTTAGGTTGTCTGAAAGTGAAACTTTAATAAATGCAACAGCACAAAACGCTAATGCTTATACTGTATATGCATTTATTATTAATTTTTAAATATTGATGTTTTTTGCTTCTGCAAGTATATGCACACACTGTAAAATGGGTCAATGACAGATGTGGAGATTTATGATGATGAATTATCACACACACACACACCACATTACTTTTGCCCAGTTCCGGATCTCCTTTATAAAGTTTAATTACAAAACAAGTCAGGTATTTAGAGACGAGGTCAACAGTCCAAGTCCTTTAATCAGGGTTAATCTTTGGTTAATCCACATCTATTATCTACCTTACCACCCGCGTGACTGACGGTGGCCACAGCCAATCAGACAATAGCATAATCCCACTGACGTGTTTGGGATCCAGTGACCAGATTTACACCTCAACAATCAACATCAGCTACTTCGTGCCACCTGCATCCGTCACGCAAAGCAAAATGTCCTCAGTCCAAACTGAAGTTCACAAGATTGATCAAGTTCCCTGTGCAGGTCTATTACCCGCTTAGATTTTAATAATGACATCTGTTTTTAATCATTAACTCAGAGAGTGAACAGAGAGCAGCAGATGGTTCATTTACTAAAGCTTAATGTGACACGAATTACACAAGACTTTCACAAGACAGAACAGTGGCAAATACAATTTTATTTTTATCATTAAAGTGAGACTTAGATGATCTGACTTGGCCCCGCAAACAAAACAATTCATTATATACAACATGGAAAAAGTTTAAATGCAACAGAATACATAATAATAATAATAATAATCATGTATTTATTTTCAGTACTAGTCATTTATTAATGTGCTTTTGTAACAGTGTTTTACTACTATTTATGTATAATCATTCATTTTTATGTCATAAAATTGTTAAATGACTAAATGTCTTACCATTTTTAAATGTTTTGACATTTATTTAATCTCAGACAATTATACGCTATTTATTTTGAATAATATCTGCTACTATTTACAAAACAATTAATTATATACAACATGGAAAGTTTAAATGCAATGGAAACAAGTTTTTAAAATAATGATTATTAGTAGTTTTTATTACAGTACTAGTACTAAAAAAAATATGAATATACTCTTTTCTTTTAGTGTTTTTCTACTATTTGATAATTATTACATTTAAAAAAAAATATATATATTTGTAAAAGTTATTTATATTAAATAAAATTATTAAATGACTAAATGTTTTAACATTGAATGTTGCCATTTAATTTATTTTAGTCATTTACATGCCATGTAATAACAATAGTCACTTTCTTTCACACAAAACAGATAAATAAACAAACATCATATTCAGATCTAGTACATACAGTTGTCAACACTCCATATATCCAGTTACACTGAACATATCACACAGATTGACTCGTCACAATCCATCATCATCATCATCATGATAATAATAATTACTGTAGAACTAATTAAACTGAAACACTTTCACTTGCTACGAACGCATACTGAGAGACATTTCACGTTGATACTCATTCACAAACAGACTGATGACTGGCATGCTTAAAAGATCTTAACAGGCTTTTATGATACACGGAAAATATGACAGCTTGCATACTGATTTCCCCCCGTTTCCGTAATCTGCCTTCAAAAAGGCACGTTTTTCCAGACACAGCCCTTCGTTTCATCCCTCTCGTCCCCATCAGCTCCAGTCGGGCCAGTCGAACTGGGATTAGGAGACTTCTGTACTAGTCACAAATGACCAAAGCGGTGCGAGATCACCCCGTCATCCGCAAACAAAACTGTCAACTAGCTGTTAAAGAACTAACAGAGAAGAAAGATAGAAAGAAGAGGGGAGGACTAGAGAGAGAGCCAGGGAGAGAGTGGGAGCGGGTGGCAGAATGGCAGGCGTTTCTCTCTGCCTGCTTTAGTGTGGCATGCATCTTAAAACACGGTCACACCTGTCACTTCCAATCTATCTAATCCACTGCATACTTCAAACCGCAGCTCGCTTCTTTCTCCAGAGATGTCTAGAAAACAATTCGAATAGAAGGTGAGATGGCGGCGGAGGAAACTGTATTCCTTCACTTTTTCATGTCTTCGGCCGTGACACTAAGTCTCGGACAGATGAAGAAGCAGATGAGCTAATGGCTTATGTGTTGCTTTCTTTCCCCCATCTTTAAATATAAGGCACAGCGAGTAACAGGTCTACAGTAGGGTTGATATTCAGGTTAAGTACCCCTATTTTGTCCGTCGATTACGTGTGCGTGCGTGATTTTCCGCCGCGTATGAATAAGTGTGCAAAGCTGAGTATACGTATTTATATGCATTTCTGATGTGCCGTTCTGTGCGGTGTGGGTGGTTCTGCTTTTACTTGTGCAGATATCAATTCTTCGTGGAAAGGCTGAAACTGTGCCTCTCTCCACGACCCTCTCTTCATCCCTGAACCACGGCAGCATGGCGACAGAATTAACCAACTTTTGTCCTCTTAAGCTCATGTGTGACAGGAGCACATTTAAACACACTTCAACTCTTGCCAAGAAAGCAAAATGCCTTCTTTCCCCCTCTAGTTTTTTCCTCTCATCTTCTCCCTTCAGCACAGATGCCAGCTTTCTTCCAAATGCCACCTTTTTTCTGCCTTTTTTTAAAATGTTTGTTCTTCCTGTACTCCGCAGGATTCCAACCTGTTTCCCTCAGAGAGTTTCTCTCGTTCCTTCTCTCTCACGCTTCCATATGCTAACTTAAATCCAGTTATTATTCTGACACAGGTAGCGTCTAGCTAATGAGACTAACTCAAAGCACGGCCGTGTGATTCTCTGGCTCGCGTTCACCACGCGCTAGGAAACTAACCTCTACGCTTGCTATCAGTTAAACTGTCAAGAGTCCCGCTGCTGAAGCACACACGCTCGAGTTGGACATCTCTCCTCTCCTGCGGTGCTGACGCCTCGTCTGTTGTTGTCTTAAGCCCGTGTTGCTGATCTCTACCGTGTGTTCGCAATCCGCTCACCTCTAAACCTGGCTCAACCGAGCTATTGTCAGCCCTGATCCTGCCGTGAGCATGCACACACACACAGATGAAGATTTACAAACGCTTCACACACTTTCAAACACCTTGCATTGTCTCATCCCTGAATTTACATGAGGTTATGCCATAGAAAAAGACTTTAATTAATTAGATTTGTGTGACACTACAATTTCAAAGGATTGTCAGATTTGTAGATTATATTTGTTTGGAAAAAAAAAACATGAAAAATATAAGAACGCCAATGAATATTTGTGACACTGAAGCAAAATGTTCCACATAAAAAATTTTATAAAATTTGAGTTTAGTTTTACTAACTGCTCTGACCGTTTTGTTGGTTTCTCTCTTTAAATATCTGGGCTTGGATCGACAATAAAACTCAAATAATTTATTTTATTATAATCCAAATTAATATAAAAACCTTTAAAATATTTTAAAAATAACTGAAAATAAAGTATTAAAGTATTTAAAATATTAAATAAAAATATAATAAGCTAGAAATATATCAACAAATTAAATGAGCTTTTAATGGTGTTTTGGGGAAAATTACATTTATGAAAACGTTTAGATTTTTACAAAAGCAATCTTTTATAAACACTGTACAGGAGTCAGGTTAAAGGATATTCTGTTGTTTTTGACATTAAAAGGCTGCATTTGACGCATCTAAGAACAAATCTTAACGTGAAACACACGTCTTCCCTTAATGCCTCTCCTCATTAACCGAGCAAAAGGGAGAGTAATTAACACCTCGCTATTATCACCCGCATGTAAAGCTCTTCCCACCTTTCGGTTTCAAAGCCCTCTACTTCTTGCCTGTAAAAAACTGGCAGCAGTTTACAGACCGCCGGGGACGCGCACCGACTTCTATTGTAGCAGGTTGTGCGCGCTTCAGCCCCGCTGACCCCATCATCACGAACGCGCCTCTCTTTCTCTCTCAGGATGAAGAGGTCAACGGAGTCTGAAGCGCGTGTGCGCCGCTGCCGTGTTAATTTACAACGACAAGATAAAGCAGTAATCTTCCGCTGCGCGCTACCCAGGGACTTGCCGAGTCGATTTACACTTCCCTATCACTTTATACAATTGCCGTGACAAAGCCCCTCCGAGTCCCCACTCGTGTAAATCTCTCTCTCACTCAACTCTTCTGCCAGTCAGCGCGGATCGGCTCAGGGAAACTTAATGTCTCACACATGCCAGCCTGCTTTCCCCAAAATCCGCCCGTGCTCGAGACGGAATACGCTTTATTAATCCACATCAAATACAGCGCGCGCGTTTTTTCATGCCACGTCTGTCATGTCAGCGCGAGAGACAGAGACAGCAGTCTAGTCTTTCAGATAACACAACAATTACAAGCGCTGCACTGCTGCTGATACATATTCACGTTATGATTAATAAGAATAACAATCCATTGTATAATAAACATTCGTTTGGTTTCATGTGCAGCTTTATTATTTGTATTACTGAACTGACATCATCATCTACAACAGCCAAATGCAAATCTCTGTCAAATCTAAACTTTCTGCAAAATGAGTTCATCACCAGGGCAGGACCCTCAAAAGGTAGGCTACATCTTTGTGCATTACCTTCCCATACACTCTTAAAAATAAAGGTTCTTTATTGGCATCTGGTTCAATAAAGAGCATTTAACATTCATGGAACCTTCCATTGAATAAAAGGTTCTTTATAGTGAAAAACGGTGCTTCAGATCATTACCACATTAAAAAAAAAATTTACTGCAAGGTTCTTGGGGGAAACCAAAAGTGTTCTACAGCATCGCTGAGAAAACCTCCTTTTGGAACGTAAATGGAGCATATTAGTACTTCAAGGCACTAATATGCGAGAACCGACAGTCATAAACAAACACACCACACTGCAAGCTGAGTGTATAAAGTGAAAACGGAGACGCTTGAGTGAGAAAGTTCGAGGACTTTGGTTTATTGTGGGAAACGGTTCCAAAACGGCAGAGTCCAGCGTGCACTGTAATCACAGTTAATTGCAGAATTAGCTTACCGTTAAGTTCCTTAAGTACTGATTCATTGTTTTACAGCCAAATTGATTCCTGAAGCCTGTGTTTATGGAGAGGAAGAGATAGCAGAGTTGGGCGAAAGGTCACTGAAGAGATACTAGAGCTCAGGTGCGTGTTAACGTGAGGATGACTCTTTGGGGTCACAGGGTCCATCTCGCTTATATTTCATCTTATGGCTTTGAAAGTCTGATACAGTCTATGTCCTTCATGACTACAATGACCCATCATGAACTCACACTCCAAAATGACAAATGAACAGCCAAGCTTATGAGTCATTTTGGCCACATTCAAATAGACGTCCTGTCTCGCTGCATCTGCCTATGACATCATCGAAGCGTGATGGGCATTTCCACGCCAAAAGTGTAAGTGAGAGAGAGACAATGGGAGGGGCTTATTCTAAGGAGGAGTCAAACAAATGCATATTAACCAAGTGGGAGGGGCTGACCTCGTCTAATCGAATGAGAGAGGTCTGAGCGTAGAGACCTACCATGTTCGCGTGTAGTGTTGGGGGGCTGTCGAGCAGTCGTGGAGATCGCGGGGACACTTTTCTGCAGTACGTACTCAGGGGCAAGTGAATGACAGCATGTCCGTCAACCTCTTCATCCTCCAATCGCTGTCTGCTCGTCACCATGACTACCTCTCCATCTGTTCCCCCATATGGAGAGGCTGGTCGCTTGGAAGACATCCTGGAAAAATTAGAAAGGAAAAGTGACTGAGGCATTCAGGAAAGACATGACAGAGATGTGGCTGTTGTTTAATTGTGAGTGACATATACAGGAGCATTTCACACACACACACCTGACACACACTACTCGCATAATGACAGCCATCAATGCCGTAGCTTTGTCCACATCCATCCCTCCATCAAAGAGACGTCCCACCTACACTATCACAGAGCCATTTACTGTAGCAGCACCGCACACAATGTGTTTAGCCAGCCTGTTTGATGTAAAGACTCGAGCGGCCCATTAAAGAAAAGTGCAGACGGCCCAGCACACATCAAATATCACGTTAGCCAAGAACACAGACAGACAATGGTGTGTGCGTGAGCGTGTGTGCCACAGTAGATGTTAATGACAGTGTATATGGTGTTGACAATGCCAGAGAAAATAGGCCTTGATGACAGTCCGTGTTCCTCTGATACCGTCAGGAAGAAAAAGCATTTATTAAATGAACTCTCTCTCCCACAATGCACGGGAAGAAAAAAATGAATATGCTCTCGTAATAAGATTTCATCTGGCTTACGGCATTGCCTAAGTGCTTTCATAGACGCTTCTCAGCCTTGAGGCTAGTGTTACTATGGCCCTGGGGAATAAGTACCACTCTTTTAAGAGAAAAAGACAGACAAGGATAAAGGGAGATGGAGAGAAGTACTTTTATTTGCTCCTACTCTGCAACTAAAAGAATTGGCAAACAAATTTTATTTGATTGCAGTGTTGTAGTTACTTTGCTTTCCCCCAGAAGCTGTTTTATAAGCAAAGTTATGGAAGCCCATTCCATATACTATATATAATAATTATTAAAATACATACTGCATACACATTGATTTTGCGTAATTTCAACTCACAATTGTGACTATTCCTCATAATTGTAAATGATGAATGATTTATTTTTCATAAATGATTTTATATCTCACAAGTGTAACTTTATTTTTCAGTATTGTGACTTTACAGTATATTTCATAATTGCGACTATTGCAATGGCAACTTTATATTTCACAGTTTGTTTTATTTTGTAAGTCTCACAATTTGGACTCTTAGAATTACAATTACGACTCATAATTTTATGACTCATAACTTTGACTCATTACTTTATCTTTCAATATTTATTTATTTAGTCATTTATTAGACACTTTTATCCAAAGCGACTTACAAATGAGGACAACAGAAGCAATCAATTGTAGTATTAAAACAACTAAAAACAGATCCAAAACTAAAAGCTAAAACTTTATAAATACTACCTATTCACATTTTAACTTAACATTTAAATGAAAAACAACAAATAAAGCTAAAAACAATTAAAAATATTAAAGAATAAAATATATAAGAGTATAATAATGATTCTAACATAACACTAAGCCAAACACCAAAAAAAAAAAAAAAAAAAATCAATATCTCGCTCACAATTGTGACTTTCCCATAATGACATTCTCACAATTGTAATGTTATTGCTACTTTGTTTCCTGTAATTGCAACTTTTTTCACAATGCGAGTTTAAATCTCATAATTGCGATTTCATATCTCATAATGTCACTTCATATCCCGCAACTGCTCAAATGTGATTTTATAACTGACTTTATAGCTCACTGTTACACTTTACAACTTTATTTCATTTTTTACCCTTTATCTCACAATTACTTAATATATTTTATGCTCAGAGGTAGAAAAATTAGTCTAATATACAGCACAAAGTCAGTGCAATAGAGAGGTTACTTTTTAACCTCGATTATCTTTCATCAACTAGCATCCGCAGTCTCGGTACAGTCCAGGTTGCGTGTGCTGAACTGTATGGTATTCTCATAGCCCTGCTCTGACTCAGACACCACATCTGGCGGAGCTCCTGAGCGCTGCTAAGGTTTCTCTTTCTCTCATTTACTGCTTATTTGGTTTAGATTAGATGTAAAGACAAACATCATATAACGTTTCTAACCGTCTGGACGAGATGAATAAGACTCACCTCAATCAAACCCAAGGCTGGCGGCTACAGAAACAATGAAGACATGCTTCGACTAACTGTATAGATGAGATGGAGTGAAGAGTTAAATGATAAACTATGATGCAGATGTCATACTGCTAGAGCCTGACAGCAACTGCTCTGTCATAACAAACACTAACGCAGGTGTGTAATACGTACAATTGTATTAGTCACTATATCTGCGTTAATTTGGCTGTATGAATGTGAACGTGTGTGTGTGGGGTACCTTGGCTTTATGCTGGTTCACACTGGGGCAGTAAAAGCAGTCAGTGCAGCTGTATAAACTGCACTTGGGCCATCAGAGCCGCACGACCTGTCTGCCACTCCACCAGCACTGTGTTTACTCTACCTCCAGACACTCACACACACTGGGCCCTTTTGTTTCACTTCGACACACACACACACACACACCTCTGTGCCGCTTTCTCTAACACACCAACCCCCAAAACACACATCAGCACCAACAAAGACACACACAACCCTCATAGGCAATCGAGAACCAGTTCTTATTCGAACCAGCAAATTGCTTGTCACATCCAACTCGAACCCGAGAACTGGCGTTTAATAACTGTTTAGTTAAGGCTCGTGAAACTTAAATCAGCATAATGAATAGCTGGAAAGCTAGTAGTTAAAGAGACAAATTTAGAACAGATTTGTATTAAATAAAAAAACATTTGTAAAAATTAAAATAGGAAAACAAAAATAATGTTTGTTCAGTATATAATTAAAAAAACTTCCAAAAAAGTGACAAAAAGAATCGTTAATGGAACCGCAATCATTTAGTGGAATTGGACATTCTCAAGGCAATATTTCTCACAAAAATTACTCAGGTGAGTGCATTTTTAAAAATAAATATACCTCCGTCATTCATATCTGTGCGTACCTTTAGACACGTCTGCATCTCTTTTCCGCTCTTC